GATATTATAATACATATATAATATACCTACACATAAACATGGCCTAGTTTCTTTGCCATTTTCTTAAGGTTTACTTCTTTCGTGTGCTCTAAGACTTTAAGTTGATGTCAAAAAACACGTCACCCCGATAGAAACCCATTATGAGTAATTAAACTTGTATTATTAATGAAGCTGCACATAGACTCATTTTTGAATATAAACACACACACACGCACCCACACACAGGATAGGGGATCCTGCATCGTGAAAGGTATTATCGTGTATATACATGCACACCATATTCTTAGTATAATATATGTAAATATGATGGTATATACTGCCCTCACCTACCTACCTATAATATATTACATAATTTTATAATATTACGTGTTAGGTAGGTACGAACCATCTCGAGACGGTATAGCGGCTTTAATGTTATACATATATACGCTTTATAAAGGCAACGAAAATTAAATATCATCACGCTGTAATGAGCACGAAACGCGTTGTTAAGTTGTTTAGCAGGTGCCTTTTTTGGATACACTTTAACATTATTGTTGTATAGGATTGCAAGAGAAAAACTCTTTATTATCTTCTTTAGTTTCAAATGTCTGGAAACCTCAAAGGCACCTAACGGCGGTTGTAAAGCTTCTTAAGTTTAAGTGAACCACAATACTGAGTTCTCGCAGAAAAATCTTACCGAAAAAGTAAACTAATTGTTTAAACAGGTAATAATACTATAATATTCAGAAGTGATTTTCCACAATTTTATTTTACAACGTTTCCTCTTTTTCCACTGACTTATTTATTTATTTTCCGATAAAACATTTTTGAATTACTTTTTTAAGCAATTCTTCTTTTCTTATCCCCTGTTCGTTTAAAAGTTCATTTAAGCTACCGGAAATTAGTATGTAGGTCGATACATTTTTGCCTTCTCTCTTAATGGATTTGTTATGAATTGTTTTTCAAACATCATGATTTATGATTCATTTTTTTTCAAGATCCTAAACAATTATTCGTTAATCTAATAGGCACATCATTTTTCAAAAAACAATATTTTTCAAATTATTTATATTTTATATTATTTAAACATTTTTTGGTTTTATTTATCAGAAATATATTTCACAATCATAATTTAATTTTTACAATAAGCGAAACTGTTGTGGAGTGTACATATTTATTTGATGAGACTTGTGTGAAGAATCCATCCATTGATGAAACTTTCTAGCTTATACATAATTAAATGTATTAAATTTGTTAACATATTCATATTTTTATAATTTATCTGTCTATCACACACAAAAAAAAAAATTCTGCAACTCATATTTATGGATAATTATGTTTAAAAATAAGTCAATAATAATAGCATATGCATTATATAATAGACATTTAAATATAATATTATTTTTGTACATATTATTAACTTTAAATTTATATATTTTTTTAAATATAAGATTAGGTGTAAGTTTATTACATAATAATTACTCTAAAATTTTAAATTTAATCTATTTAAAAAGAATAAATTTCACTTAAACCACCTATATCTTTTTCATCGTGAAATAATGTGAATTAATTCACCATGTTTATACATAACCTACCAGTTGAAAAAACCCTATAGGTAGTTCTCACAATATTACATTATATTAGGTAGATACCTATAGTTTTGTTTTCAATTACCTATCTGATTGAAATTTTAACATTTCTACGATCAGAACCGTACCTATACAATTTAATTAATTATATTGTTATAACATTTTTATATTAATAATTATAGTTTGACTATAAACAATTTTAAACATTATTTGTTAACATTTTATATAAGTTGATGATAATTTATTTCATGAAAAATGGTTAGTACTCAGTAAACATGGGAAATGTTTTTTTTTTTTTTTATTTGCAATAAGGTACTTCTAGATTTCGGTATCTATGCCTAGAGATGTAGGATAATTAATACATTTTGGCATGTTAAGCACGATAATTAAATTATTACAATTTTAATTTAGATGATAACAATAGTTAGAGGCCTAAGTTAATATGTTTCTTGAGGAATTAGGTCATGCGGGCGACCTCGTTGGAGGCGCCGTTGTGAAGGTGGTCTGGTGTTGATGTGGTAGTGCATTGAGCCTGTTGACTTGTGGCAGGAATCGAAGAAGCTCACAGCCAAGAACTTGATGTGAACTTGGCGAGTTGGAATGTTGAGGTCTTTGTGAATGCTTGTGTTCCTTACGAACCCCGGAGCGTTTGTTATCGTTCTTAAAACTTTATTTTGAAATATAAGGAGATGTTCAAAAACCAAAGAGTTATTTTTATAATTTATAATTTTTCAAGTTAGGTTAGATTTTTTTCAACCAAGTGATACTGATAATATTTTATAATACTTATAGCTTGTAATTAACATAATTCGATATTTGAAATTTGAATAGACTTTTATTTTTATGTACAATTTTGTAATTTGAATAGATGAAAATTTGTTGAATTTACTTTATAGTCAATTACATAACTAGTCAATTACTTTTAATTACCTACCTATCTATATAGTTAAAAATAATAATATAATAATATGTATATTTTTGCAAACAGATGGTATTTGATAAAATAAAAGTTACAATAAATAATACATTAATATGTTTGTTTGCTCACCTCCTATAAGTAAAGCTTGTGGTGAAGGTGAGAGGTTCTTAATTAAGTCCTTAATTCAAATACTATTAATATGTAGTAGGTAGTAATAAAATAGACATGAGAGATTTCAGAATAAAGTTAAAACAAAATAGAAAATAAAATAAATAATAATTATACAATTTTAAGTAATTGCATAAAATCACTATACCAAAAAAAGTCTGAACCCTACGTTTTATTCGTTTAACAGTTAGAATAAAGTTTAATAATAAATAATAACATAATAACTTGCAATAATTGTATACATACATTTATTTTGTAAGACTGACTGGCCAATTTTGTTTGATTATTTACGATTTCATTACTTCGACGTAGCTTATAGTTATAACTTATATCAAATTAAATTATAAATTAATATAACTATGCAACTTTAAGGAACTGAAATCATTGCAATATAACGATATTAACGAATAACAATTATGTATTTGTTTGAAGTTGATAATAACATAGAGTATTTCAGTGTATATATGACCGGCTACTGGCGTCCGACTTTTATAAATAATGTGAAACTGAAAACAATACAAACTTAATAATTATTAATTATATACTATCAAAAAAGTTAAAATATCGTCGGACGTCAATATGTCGTACATTTACGTAATTTGTTAGGTACCTACTGCAGGCAACGGATTATAATAGCAGCAGTTGGCTGTTGGTCTGAGAAATTTGAAATTTTGGTATTTCACTCGAAATAATATTGTGTTGTAATATTAAGCGTTTCCTGTCTTCGACATGCTTGTATATTATATTATATTTATAAAATAATATCATATACGACGTATTATTTTTTTAAATAAAAGACCGACATTGAGTTGTTTAAAAAAATATGTAATACGCTGCAGTAAATACCTGCGTTTAACGACGACCAGTCACAATCCCTCGAAAAACTGTTATGTACACATTATTACGTCGCCGTATGTGTACATATAGAGGTATGGGTTATTAAGGATGATCGCGGATCATGGATCATTGTGCGGTTTCGAAAGGGAGAAGTATGGGTAGGTACTCTTGGAAGTCGTCGGGAGTGGGTGGGAAGGGTTGACGAATGCGTAGAATAAATTAGACGCTGCGTGCAGTGGTGGAGAGACGAGGAAAAAAAATGATCTTGGGAAAGTTCTACGACCAAATTACCTGAATGGCCCTCGGGGTTTGGATTTCCTCTTATTATTCGGGGAGGAAAGGGGGAAAAAAACTCGTCTGGTCCAAAACGATTGCCTCTCACGTTCGGCTTATCCGGCCGTCGAACACGTTTCGCGGGTCCGATCGGAGGCCATTTCTCACGTTGGGCGGCGCGACTACGGCCGGCGGCGGAACGCGTAATTTATATATATATACAATAATACGAGACCGCAAGAGACAAATCGAATCGTTTATACCAATGACACATAGCCCTTTGTTCTTATTACCGACACTGATCGGTTGAGTATACAGAACTATATATATAAATATATATGGTATTATATTATACCAATATTGTATATTATTATATATATATTAATAATAAATATAATGCTGCCCCCGGGAGAACGTAGGTGGGTATAGGTACCAACAACTATAGTGGTTTGAACTATTCGTGGACAATTTGTCAAGTGATTTTCACATTTACTATTACAAATCAACTCGTACAGGCTAGTTTGAAATTATACCTAAAATTATAAAGTATATTATAGTAATTTAAAAAAAAACACCCAGTTGCGTACTGCAATATGTAAATTGTTCACTTTGATTTATTTTCTAACTAAATGTTTTTTTTTTAAAACTTTATAATCGTTTATCGTATTTTATAACAAAAACAATATTAATTAGGAAGTATGTAGGTTCAATACATGTGATAAATATTATATTATTTTGGTAGACGGATAGATCGTAGGTATACTTAATAGATGTACAACTGCAGACTGCAGTGCAAACGAGGATCACGGAGACACGGTCCCGGAGGCTCCCCAAATATTTTTCATATTTATTTTCATTTTAATAGTCATTATGCAGGCATCCACAACTATAAGATAATATGAAAAAAAATAAAGGGGCTTCAGCACCCCCACCTTTTTTTATTGAAGTTGCGCCACTGGTTCAATGTAGTATGTATCTACATAATTTACCATATAATTATTAAATTATTATTTCAATAAATAATAATATTAACATATTCAATCATGAATTGACATTATAGGTGTTTTTGTGTTACGTGTGGTAAGGGCAACAATATATTTTTCATAGATTATACATAATTATTTTACTAGCCTTTTAGAGTTTTTTTTATTTATTTTAAACTGTAAAAGAAGTATTAAAAAAATATAATACCCAACCGTAAGAATATTAATTAACATTTTTTTTAAATTTAGAATGGTTGAAGTTCGAGTGTTGAAAGAAGGCTTACTTTTAAGTGTCTGATGGTGTTCTGGGGCCCATAGTGGATCTTTAATCCAGGTTTGTATAGTATAATAGTTCTATATTATAACAATACCTATACCTATGTGTGAACAAGTAATTTAATATAACAACTAATACTGAAATTAATATCAAATATTTCATGATAAAAGTTTCTTAACTACATACTACCTATTTTGTATGTATATCTATTATGTTTCTTAGAGTTTAGACTCTTATTAGTTATGATGAAAGCTAAATAAATTTCCACTCCTCATCACTCCCACTCCTTAATTAACACACTATCTTCCGATCATCCATACCATATTCCAATTAAATTCTAAATTCTAAATTATATTAATTGAAATAACAAACTTGTATAACATGTAATATGTTGAAACATTTTAATTATAATAAATAAAAAAAAAAAAAAAATGATGAAAGCTGCAATTTTAAGTTAATTTTTGTTAACTTATAAGTACGTTTTATGAAATTTTATATTAAAAATGGCATTGTGGCATCGAAAACCATAGATTTAAATTAAATTACCAGTAAAATTTAATTAATAATATAAGTTTTAACTAAAATAATTTAAAGACAGTCTAAAAGTTTAATATAAACTTCTAATTGTAGTATAAGTAGGTACCTAGTTATATGTTTTCTATATAATACCTATACTTGCCTACTCTTTGCATAGGTAACATTTTCTTTTCAACAATTTTTCTAGATAATATTCATCTCAATATTTTAGTATCAATAATTATTGTTAACACGAACTTTGGCTATTAAAAATACAATTTTGGATCTTAGTCTATGGTTTAAAAAAATAAATAAATTCCGACATAAAAAATTGTGAATAGTTTATCAGATTAATCTTATAAATAAATTAGTATTATTATTACCTATATCAATATTTTGTTTTGTTTATAGCCATATAGGTATAAACAGAAGTAATATACTGGAGATGGTCTTCGCTCAAAACCGTTAACGTATAGGTATATTCAATGATTTATCATAGAATTGATATTTAAGCTACTCAATGTAGATGTACACTGTCTCGACACCTACTAAATCTGCAGTCATATATTTGTGTGGAATACAAGTTCTTCAATTATTTGTATCTGTTATTACTTATTATATTATATCCAACCCAATAATAAAATAGCACAGATCTCCTGAATTGTGAGTACTTAATAAAATTATTTGTGATTGAAAATTTTAAATAAACCGAAATTCCCACTATAATGTTGAAGGTAACGAAAAATGTTGCCGGCTCTTTAAAATAATATAGCAAGTAATATATTGATATGTTTAATGTTTGTACCAAACAATTTATAACTAACATAATAAAATGGTATTTTTCGTATACCAACGTTGTCGGAGAATAATAAACATTATTCCATCTACGTGTTTTCCTTCATATAATATTTTTTTTTACAATTTATGATTGGGGATACTGCATGGCTCCACGACGAAGGGTTTGAAACCAGAGGGATTTACAGATTTCATAGTTTTCTTACACGCTGTACATGGACATACATTTTAATAGCGAAGGGGCTGTGATTGTCGGTCGCGATGAATCATATCCCTCAACAACCACTACTACAACATAAATTTGGTAGCATTTGATTAAAATCGTCTGTGGGACAAAGTGAAACCACAGAACCACCTACCCTATAAGTGTTCTAGACGTGTACATAATACTGCTGACAAATGGACGGGTTAAGCGGACGCACAAAAGCTTGGGCTTTAAAAGAACAAGATCCTCCTCGTTTCTCAGCTCTACACTGGAAACGATCCAAACACACCTTTGGCTAGTCTTCTTGCAAGTTGTTGAAGGATAACTTAAATAGAAGATACCCCCTAAAGGTAGGACTTGTTTAGCGATGAAGAACATACTATAGGTTCCTTCAGCTCCACAGTTAACATTTACTTCAATCCCATTATTTAAACTTTTTTTAACTATAGCAATATAAAAATTAATTATTTATTCACATACTTTATTGCGTACAATGTCACTGTTCAGCGAGACAGGAGAAGATTATTTTAATTTTAAGTGCTTGAAAAACTGATCATTTAATATACCATAGTTATTATTAATAGGTATTTAATTACATTTATAATATTATAGGTACTTACATATTAACATTTTTATAAAAGTGTTCTACTTCTATACTGTAAATAATAATTGTACAGTTAAAAATGATAAAATTACATGATATACCGACATAAGTTTTTCCGAAAAAAAACAATTCGAAAAAGTACAATTATTAGGTATTTTTCGAATTCTGAATGTGTTGTATACTTGTATGTATTATATAGTTAAGGGTTAAGACAATCAACTGAAACAAGTACAATAGTATTGTACATAATAGGTCATCAAGATAAGGCATTTAGTTGAAATTAACATTTCAAATTTAGTATCGTTAGTAGGAATTACATACGGAGGTCGAAAGCCGTAAAATATAACATAAGGTATAGAAATATCAGTGTTTGGTATTTAAAACAAACCTATCCTTCGGTAATAAACCTATATCCTTCAGTTTGACTTGACATATTTAAATATTTTGTTGGATTATTCAACTCGTAGGCTAAATAAACCAATAACAACAACATAACAGTTTTGTATAGGTTTTAAATAGAACCTAATCTCGGAAATAAGAAGCAAATTAAGCTGTAAAATATTGTACATGTTCTATAAACATATTTTTATATTTTTTTCATTTCAACCCACATTCTTATCTATGTCGATGTTTATGTGAATATTAACTTAAACGAAATTCTAAATAATATGTTTATTCCGTCTAATCTTTACTTTATGATTTTATGTTCATTATTATTGTTATTAGTGAATACTAATAATTTTTACCAACCTGTTAAATATTAATATATTATGTTCACGGATACTATGTTTTTGAGTTTAGATTAGGTATAACACGTAGTTCCATTTTATGAAATCTCCATTTGGCCATTTGGAGAAACTCAACGAAAATGGTCTTTCAAAACGTTTAAATAGAAATTGCTGTAAATCAAGAACAATCAACATATAGGTGTGATATAAACATTGACGAGTATTTTGTGAACATGTAATTTTGTAACCTAATCATTGCAGTAGGCCAATGTAAAATTACTTAATTTTTTCTCCTCCACCGTAAAATATGATCATTACATTGTTATTCTATGTTGAATAATAATACCGTTTTAAAATTAACATCGTTACCATATTCATCGAACTAAAAGCAATCCATTGTGCATATTTTTATTTTCATTGAAAATAACTTATGATTATTATTCCGTAGGTACCTATTCGATTGTTTTGCATCCGATATTTTATTACAGATTAACTATTTATGTAGGTATGGCTAAAAAATCAAATTCATAAATTATCCTTTGTTAAAAACATTTTGCTACAATTATGATGTTATTATAATAAATAATAATATTCTGCCCACAAATTTATTTTATTATAGCCAAAACTTTAATTTATGCACGACCGAAAGAGTCGTTATTTTCTTTCGAACGTTATTTGACACGAAAACAAAATGGACAAATGCTGCAGGCCGAAGATTGAAACCATGTGTTACAAACGTGAAATTATGAAGCGTAGGTATTCAAATATCCAATTCAGTTGCATTAAAACAACAGAATTAATCAAGAACTAAAAAATTACTAAAAAATGTTGTACGAACACCTATATAGTAGGTATCTAATTAATAATGAAGATGCTAGGGGTACTTAATTCCGCCATGTGCGATGGACCTCAGTCTTTGGTTTAAAGTTTAAACTATAGAATATCTTTTCCATTCAAAATTATTTTTCCAAATTCCTTCTTCCTTCAAGTTGTATTTAATGGTTACATATCTATAATATATGTACTGCTATATCTAGGAATTACCTGTTGATTTATTCTAATGTAAAATCACTTTTTTTTAATATAAAATTAAAGGTATAACTATCAATGTGTGACCTATACTTAGCTATCAACTTACGCATTATTAATAATGAAATTTGAACAAAATTAATTTTTTAAAGCTACAGTATCGTTATTTTGGACTTTGGAACAACGATTATTATTATCTATTTACCCGGTTATTATTTTGAATTGCTATAGGTACTTAATAAATTTCATACTTGTAAGAATGAAATACATATTTTTTATCCTTCCAGAATTATATTTCGATAAATCTATTCTAATGCAGTAGGTACCATGTCTTTTTTTAACCTACTCATAATAAAAAAAAATCACTAAAATAATAAATAAAGGGAAATGTGTGTATATCATTCCCGTTAAAGTAGGTTACGCATTTGACCGGTGACGAAGTAGGCTTAAACAAAGCTATTATACCGCTTATATAATAACTTATATAATAACTTATATTACTTAATATATTATTAACACATAATAAATATGTTTTAAAATTTATAGTTTTCAAAATTTGTAACTTTACACTTTTGAAAAACACAGGTAAGCACATGATTTTTTAAGATAAATTAATGTAAAGTCGATGTACAACTGTCCAAGTAAGGTATATCACATATATTAAATACATACCTACTTAATTGTATCATAGGTATATTAATATTAAAACTAAACTTTTTCTCTGTAGACTAAATTAAACATTAAAATTAAATGTATATGTGTGCTAAATGCTATACTTTTTTTTATAGAAGTACAATACTGTTTGTTGAAATATGCAGTACGTTGGGGCGGTGGTCGGTTGGGCGAAAGTTACAAAAAAATAATTAACGAAATCATTGCTTTGCAAGTTTTGCTGTGACTTTGAGAGATTTTGTATAAATCTAAGTATATAAAATATATAACAAATGATAACAAAACTATTAAAACTGAGAGCATACAATGTTAATACAATTAAATTTTTATCAAAATATATTATGGTAATGGTAAATTTTTGGTAGATGATTTATTTGGGTTCATCCTATTTTTATATTTAAAACACCAGGTACATAATATTATACAGGTTAATTTTACTAAATGTAGGCAATAACCAAGAAGTGTACAGTATTATATGCCTGTATGGCTGTATGCCTGTATATAATACATAATTAAGTGTGAAATACTGTTCTACTCGCCTAAATAGTGATTATTCTCCAAGGAAGGAGTGACATAATTACATCATGTCGTTTACCTACCCATATCCCACACGATTATTTTACGAGTCAAGTTAGTTATTATTATTTTTAAATCCGTGCTATCTATATGAAATATTTTGTCAACATGATACCTACTCGTTTAGTTATTACTTCCGGATATTAATAAACAATGGTATCGATTATTTAACTATATAAGTATTTAGATAAGTTCATTTAAAAAATATACAATCTCAACAATTTTATTGCTGTTTTATTTTATTGGGAAAATGCAACAAAAAACTTTAAAAGTACAAAATTTTAAACTACAAAATGATATTATGTTAACACCAGGAGTACATGCCGATGGCATCGAGATAAAAGTATAATGTCTAGAAATGAGTAATAATTCATAAGCCATAACAGTATAATAACCATATCCTGATGATAATAATATTCTATAAGAAATAATCTTCATAATTGTCGATAACTAATAAGGAATAATATTATTTTATCTTAATGATTGCCCGATTGTCATATCGTTTATCCACATAATTTCTTTGGTAATATTATAATGTTAGAAATATACCCTCTTATCACTATATCTAGGTGAACTATTTGCATTTAAAACTTGAGCAACATAATATTATAAATCATCGTATTTTAAATTTAATTAAAACCATTATTTAAGTATAGATCATAATTTAAAATTTTAAGCTAATATACTTTTAAAAAAAAACTGTGTTTTAATATAATATTTTCAATAAAACAGGTGCCAAGTGGCACTCCTCATCTGCTGTACAGTATATACTTGTCGAGTATGTCATTATAATGGATTTGATGTATTTGAATTGCATTGCATACAAACGATTCTGAACGGAGTGTGTCTTCTTATACAATTTATAAAGCTTGAGTATAAATAATCAAATTTATTGACAACAACAAAAATTAATAAAAATCGAAAATATCTCATAGCTATAAATAACATAAAAAGAGTAAAAAAAGATTGAACATTTTACGAGGTAGTATATGAAATTTATAATAATATAAATATTTGGTGAGAATGTCAAGTGTCTATAGTTATTTGTTTGTTAAATGTTATTTTACATCTGAATATCAAAATAGTAAAAACTTTAAATTCAAACTCTCATTCAAAATT